CTCGCCGTCTGGTTACGGGATCTCCTTTTCGCGCACGAACGACATGCCGGACGATACGCTATCCGGACTCAGAACAAATCGACACGTACGACGACGCGCCCCGATTTGTGAGCTGGTATCGGGAGAAGAAGCATTTACCGGCCGGATTCACCTCGCACCCCTACGAAGAAGGGATGTCGGACGACTTGGCACCGGGTGCACGACCCTTAGCACAAAAGCTGCGAAAACAGATAGCCAAGGCGAAAAAGTCTCAAGCGGAACCCCCGGGACAAGAGACGGAAGACGATAGTGCGTCCCAACGAAGCGGTTCCGTCAGCTGCAAACCGAAGGAGTCTACACTACGACTTCATCAACGACCAAAACCGGACGAAGAGGAAGAAGATTACTTCGGCGGCGAACCGCCGGTCGATATGAACTTGGGACAGGGGCAGGTTTCCACAAAGAAAACCTAGTCATCAGTCGTAATACCCAAGAGGACTTGGAGCCGAGAAACGGCACGGTCGAGAAACGACCCTACTGAGAACCAGCTTAGCTGAGAAACAGCACTGTCGAGAAACGACATGGAATTCGGAATGGACACTTTTCTTATGTTTTTTCACAGATACACCATGAACGTAACAGACGTCGACCACGATTATGCCAAAAGCCGACCACAAAGGTCGGTCGGATTCTCCGGTCGGACCCGGAAACGAGTGGTCAGACCTGGGTATTTCGGTTCTTTCACCGTACCGGTACGTCCTCCGAGGAATCCCCTGGATAGAACTGAGCAACCGACTTCAGTTCCAAAGCAGGGCATGAGCAGACGGCGAGAACCACATGTGCTACGGTTGGAGCCAACAAACGCGCCGACCATCTAACAAAGCTAATCGTGGAACTACATCCAACCGTCTGTTACATGGTAAGCATGAAGATTGCTCCGGCCAACCGACTCTGGAGTATAGACCGAGAGGGTAACGCTAACATGGCGCGGAACACGTCGCTGCGCGTTCAGCACCATGTTTACCGTGCACGCGTGGCCGACTCGAGAACCGAGCAGCCGACCAGTAACCCTCGTCACCAAAGACAGTCGAACATTTTTTCACACGGATAAGCCGACCACAAAGGTCGACTGTGTCCAGGGAAGGCGCAGACCGTACCACGGAAATACATAGCGGAAGCGAACGAACGGATTCCCAGTGCCCAGAGATTTAGCGACAACAAATCGAGTCAACCGCGATTTACTACCTTGGCCGACCACAAAGGTCGAACATGCTTTAGGTAGACGGAAAGCAAACGGTAGACCGAGGCGACAACTGCGATCGCCACCCTTTAGAAGTCGTACCGGATTCTCCGTTGAACCCAGACATACAGACTCTGTACCTGGAGCCCCACCGACGTCTCCCCTGGAGGATATCGGAACTAACCGACTCACCGGTGAACACGACCACGCACGCTCTGACCGTGCTGGCTTTCCCTGAAGGGGCCACCGACGGTTTAGCCGGCTACGGGTGTATCAACGACTCCGCCGACCCGCTTCCCCATGATCTTAAATGAAACATCCTAGGCAGACCGTACTAGCAGTTACGACCTGCACCCCCTTAACGAGTCCGCTGACGGAGATCAACTGCCCGCAACAGCACCGGTCAGCTGTTCTGCGTCATCGGAAAGGAACGAAACCCTCCCGTGGACAAGAGTCGTCTACCCCCATCAGAAGTGGCTAGGCGTCTCTGGTTCGCGATGGAAAAACGATGAATAGAATCTCATATTACCTTAGGATCCTTGCACGTGCATGAAGATGGATCTCTGCCGGCAACTAGTTCCGGCAATGCTTAAACCAAAGAGCTTGTTCTGTGAACTGGGACCACAAAGGCCCCTTTTCACCACAAGCGTGCATGACTGCCTGATGGAGTTACCCGGCCAATAGACGCCATTGCAACGACCCATAACTCGATAAGGACGCCGGAACTCGGACTCGTCCAGAGGTCGACCATGAAGTAGGATGCATGACTGACTACTAGTCGGCCGAATAGCACGACCGAACGGAAGTCGGAAATGTACGATAACAAGCCGGGAGAAGCAACTACTAGTCGGACATCGACGTCCTAACGGAAAAATACATCTTTTGGACGGATGAAAACATGTTTCAACTGACCAGTGGAAGCCGATAGCCGACCACCGACCTTCAACAGGGATAACTAACCAAGGTCGGATACGTATGGTGACCGACAACAGGTCAGCTAAAGTGGTCAGAATGAAAGCAGAAGTCGGAATGAAGAACGCGAACATCGCAGGTTACCTTGGTCGACCATCGAGGAACGAAATGTCCGAGTACCCGTCGTATACCATTACGACCGACCACTCGCCTTATATCATTGCAACCGACCAATGGCTGGATAGCCGACCACAGGTCGGCTCGACACACCGGGATGCCGACCAAGAAGTTATAGGATGGAAATACTACTGCTAGCCACAAAGGCATAAGGTAGTAGTCAACCGACCATTTCCACCGTGGGAACACAAAAATTTCCGACCGGACCTTCGAGCCAGTTCGTCTCGGACGAAACCATAACCAGGCTCGTGGTAGCAGATTGACCGATTTTAACCGATCACTTATGAACGGAACTGCCGCGCTCAGCAACCACAAAAGTTGCATGACTTGAGTATCGGTTTTTCCGACCTTACTCATGGAATTCGGAACTTAGCCGGATTTCCATGCCGCCGGTCGACTTACCGGTAGGCCAACCTTGGTCAACCGACCTCGGTCCAACTCCCCCACTTAGAGAGGATGCCTCGGCATTTGCAACTGCGACAGTGCCTCTCCATTCGCAACGGACGGATGCAAGTTGGAAGTAAGTGTTTCACCGTGCTTACCCGACTCAGGTGAATTTTACCGGTCACGACGGATAACCCGAGAACTGACGCCTCGGATCCAGTTTACCGGACAACGTTGGACAGGAGACCCCGTGGACTTAATGCCCCCGTGGTTTTTTAAGACTTAATTCTTTTTTTTTCGCGCTGCATAAATCTTCATTACATTTCATTTTTACATTAATCTCCGAAGCCAACTGAAGCAAGAAGCCAGCCAACAGACGCATTACCGGTCCAACGAAACGCTCGAGCGACCTACGGATTCTCGGCCGTGAGCTGCTTGCCTCTCATGGGTCTGGAAGGAAAAGATGGGACGGTCAACCGGACACCGGACTCCGACGGGTAGAGGACGCGTACCGGCGACCCCACATGGGTCCAACCGGAGAGTTGTGCGGTACACTGGTGCGGTACCGAGTCAGAGCATCCTTCGCAGGAGCTCGGATTCCCGCCCAGAGGCATATCAGGCATAAGAGCCTGTGCGTGGTGCTACGTCCACAAATGGCGTACTTGCACTCACACTCATGCCGCATCGCCTCTCTCTCTTGTACGTACGTGTGACGCTGCACTGCACTCATCCACTGAAGTGGATATACCGCGTGCGCACACACTGAGCATACTTGCTCTCTCGTCCCTCTCTCACCGTATGACTCAGCGCTTATACGCTCACGTTGGATAGAGTCCAGTCTGCGCAGCTTCACACAGCTGATACGTATGGCCTGCATCACGCACGTGCTTGCCGCCAGCATTCCTTTCACGTCGAGACCAGACGCTCAAGAACACTCTAGCAACACGTTTCTAGATTTGGCCATACTGGCATTGTTCTTTCTTCCTGCTATTACGCAGCATTGTTCAGCCTTTATATGTCAAAAAAGACATCCCGTGAGCTCCCTGCGCTTGCCTGTTACAATGAACAAAAACATAATACAGCGACCACAGCAAAAAACACATTTTCCATTTCCGATTCGGGTACTGTAACTAAAACGCGTAGTGCGCTCACCCCTTCTATATATGGAACGTTTCGTACCAAAGAAAAAAACTGGAACGTGTTTTTCCTTCTTGTAGTCACTGTAGTCATCTGTAGACAACCTGTAGATACCCTGTAGACAACCTGCATACATCCTAAGAAAACCTAAGAAACCAGGTGACTACAGTATGTCTACAGTGGTGTCTACGGGCTGTCTACAGGTGACTACCGGTGTACAAGCATACAGGCAGAGTATCGAGCTGAACCTAAGAAGGGCTGCCTGTATACAGCGGTAGACATCTGTAGACAACCTGTAGACACCGTTGTAGACACGCTGTATACATCCTAAGAAACCAGGTGACTACCGATAGGTCTACAGGGTGTCTACAGCATGTATACAGATGTCTACTGTGACTACAAGGAGCGAAAAAACGATTCACTTTTTTTCTTTGGTACGAACCGTGCCACAGGTGCCCCTTCGAAGTTGGATGGATATTCTTCAAAGATTTAATGTGCAACGATTATCAAAGAATTCTGCGACCTGATCTTTTTGCTCTGATTATGAATTATCTCTGATTCTTTGTATTATGTGGCTAGTAACGCTTTGCTTCCAGGAAGAATGAAGAAAAGTGCTGCAAAGTTTTCGGATTTTTTTATCCATTTTAATAGCACAAAGTTAACATAAATTATTTAATTTAAGAAGAGTGTATTAACTATACTTTGAAAATTGTTTTGCACCTGTCCAGCGGTACCGGCATCTAAGAACGGCTTTGCAATTGATTCTTTTAAAACAAAATGCAAGTAAAACGGTTTTCCGCCATGCTAAATCTAATGGCAGTGTGAGCTTTTGTTTTATCCATTCATAGCGGATTCTGTGTACAAAGATTACGGGGAAGTTGGCTGCACTACAGATCCTTTTCCTTGATAGCAGAATAGGTATAATTCGTCGCCAATTAGAACACTTTTTCGCTTTTTATTAACTACTGTAATCGAGTTGTTTGTACAGGAAAACAGACAAAAGACCAGTACTGTATATACGAGAACTGCGATACGGACGATACGGCCGATACGTATGTACGGTACCCTTTTTGCACTAAGCGCTCGCCATAAGGAACTGTGCTACAGCGCACGTATAAATAAGTAGCATATATTATAACGCCAGCAAGCTACGTGATTATTTAAGAGCAAAGTTTCGAAAGTAGTTCCGCTAATCCACGTCGTTTTGTCGAAAGCGCCAAAGGGTAATTACTGCTTTTGCTAGTTCTTTACCCTTATAGAGTTTGACGCTTTGATAGAAGTTCGTTTAGTCTTCGCACAGTCTCTTTGACCCCGAATGCCTCGAACCAGTTTGACTGGGACGCCGCTTCCAGACTTATTCACAATATGACTTCCAGGTAGTGCTAAACGTGTTGCTAATACTTCTGTACGATCAATCGAGTGAAATCTAGACGGATTTTGGAAAAGCAGTCTTTTTCTTCTTTAAAGTCAGTCGGTGAATAGGCTGCTTTCCAGAATATCATTGGGAAATGTCGATAATGAGAACATCAAGTTATGCACTAGCCATTATTTTGGTTTGCCTTGTTTTTTATTTTGGCACTGTCCTCAGAGTAAGAAATTCATTGAATACCCTTAATGTCAACAATAAACTAAACAAGACAGCATTGCAGGATATATGCCTTCGCAGTACATGGACAAAGAGCTCGGACTGCATAATGAAGTTTGAGAGATACGAAAGTAGTACTTTCGAAAAGCTTTGGTTAGATAATGTTAAAAGTTGGCAAGATGATCCGTGTGCAAAACTTCCGGAGCAAGCGCTACAAGCCGAAATATGGTCTACGTACGCGACCAAAAATCAGGATAAACCACAATCGAACCCCCCTTCTGACGAAGTTTTCAGTCGATACATCTTCAGGAATACATGCAGTGGAAGTGAAATGAAGGTATACATTGAGCCTCTGGCCCTTACAAACCGGCACCCGCATTTTTGCTCCGGGGGAAGGAATGATGCGTTGTTGTTAGACAAAAGTTATATGGTTCTTGACTGGCAGTTAAGAACACTGGCTACCGGAAACGTATACTACTTCGATTTGGGAGCAAGCACTTACGATCAAGGTTTAGGTAATGCTGCAGGCTTTAGTTGTTCAGTTCAACTTTGTTCGGCTCGTGTTATACGTGTATTATTGATACTTTCCAAGCATGGCATCACACCTCGGGTTTATTAGGTGGCAACAGCCAAAAGTGGATTGTCGAAAACTATGCAAAACGTGGAATAAACTTTAGTGGAATTTTTGCATGGGAAGCTTATCCACTAAACGCTGCCGACGTTTTCCGTGTTTTGCCACCAGAGCTCCATTCGAAGTACCGCTGGTACAATTTTCCAGTGAATGCAACGGAAGGTTCCCCCAGTAATCCCTGGACTATGCTTGCGGAGGTGGTCAAGCCGTCGGATTTTACAGTGGTTAAGCTGGATATTGACTCTCCCAGTATTGAAACACCACTTGCTCAGCAACTTATTGACAATCCAAGTCTTTTGCAACTTGTTGATGAATTTTATTTCGAACATCACGTTAACCTAACGCCCCTAGCGCCTTGGTGGGGACCAGTCACAGGCATATATCTAGAGGATACTCAAAAAACATTTTTGGCTCTACGGAAGGCTGGCATTCGTGCTCATTCATGGGTGTGAAAAGGACTGCCAATGATAGCCAACGCTACTTCAATAAATCCAATTAAGTTCAAAGCACAACTGTGCAGTGAACTGTAGCGATTACGAATTACGAAAGACTGTATTGGCAGAACGGAGCGGAACGCTTACTATGGCATCTTTTACGATTTTAAAATCAGAAGCTTAAAATCTGTTCCCGAATCTCAATAAGTGTTGCTACGGCAAGCATAGTTTTTCGAGACACTTTCTGAGAGGCATTAAGGCCAACAGGGCATAGGACAACCGAGATTAGTGTAGCGGCGTTATCAAGTTAGACCACAGAGTTGTTTTACCGGAAAAGTGCACATTGGATGTACCCGCGCATCTGCGAAAGCACTTTTCAATGGTAATCGTACCCACGTTTTTTCCATGCCTGGCACTGCCGTAGCGGATTTTGCACACTTGGTGGTAGATTCTGCAACGTCAGCAGCTGCAACCAAATGGGTAAGAAGGCTGTGCCGATAGTACGCCTTACCTGCCCTGATAATCCCTTAATCCAAAGACTGGATTTCACTGGAAAGATTAGGGGGGAAGAAAATCAGATGAACATTGGACAGTTCCAAGTGCGTATGGCAGGCAGCATTATCCAATAGAAAAGCGATTTTGCGGCTTTCCATCTTCATGCGGCTACTGAGCTGCTGTAACCACTCCGTAAAAAACGCAGATGTCATCCAAGCCGTTTTTTTAGCGCGCCACATTACAGGGAGATTTTCCGGTTAACGTTAGCTCGGTGGAAAGCTATGCGGCGTTGCGCGTTTCCGATGACCAGCAGCTTCAGCTTTCCCCCTGTCAAACTGCCTGCTGGAAGCACCGTCACCCGTTCCTTTGTAATTTACACCCTTGGCACTCTCTCCTTTCTGAACAAGCGATTTGTTTGGCATGTGTCGGTAAAATCAGCCAGTTTCTTCGGCGTTGAAAATATTTGAGACGGTGCCAACAGAAATGACAAATGATATCCGAGTTCTTGCGTTCAGAGATATTTATGAAGACCACTTCTGTTCTCATATTGGTTATTTATTACGCATGTAAATTTTCTTATGTTACGCATACCATAAATTTTTTCACAGGGTTTTCGGAATATCGCATTATTTACATTTGTTAAAGAAGCAGTTTTTAACGGTATATTTACCGCTGCATTGCACCACCTTGTGGCACAGTTGAAACAACTAAGGGGCTGATGCGCTAAGCATCTTCAGAAGCGATTACGATTCCGTTAAGACATTTTCTCCAGAAAATGTCTTAATCGCTCGGGTTTTTAATCGTTTATTAATCGGTTAATCACAACAGGTGCGCAAAAGCGATTAAAAAGTCAAGCGATACGGAAATTTCACGAAGCCAAACGAAAAATTCGGCTATATGGACCCCCAAAAAGCGCCCCGGACCAGTATCCCTAATTAGGCCGTCAGACATCGTAACGCCTAGCGAAAAAACCCCAGAATAATCCCTAACCGATTAAGACTTTTACCGATTAAGAAAATTCCGAAAATTTCTTAATCGCTTTTGCTCAACCGATTGCGATTAAGATTTTGTACAACCGGAAGTGTTTCAGATTGCCCAATAGGCGCTTCGGGAGGTGCGGTCACATGAATCAGGATGGAAAAGCATTAATCGGATCGGTTTTTGAGCTTAGCGCATCAGCCCCTAAGCGAAGCTTTACTAAATTTCTAGTGTCCAATATGAAAGTAAACATTCGAGCAAAGCTAACTTTCCTTCGAGATATAGATTGGGAAGTGTTTCTACTTCTACAGTAATGTAGAAATTAAAATTTTGTTACAGTGTCTCTCTCTAGCACGATGGTGTTTTAAAAACTTCGATATTTTCGATAGTTGTGCCGCAGGCTGTCAGTTTTAAATCGATCGCACTTATTTAGTGCATACTGAAGTATTAATTTTCCTGCTGCTTATAAGAAATTAAGTATTTAATAAATGTCAAGCATCTAAATTCATTAAATGATATATGTTCATATTTCGGTTTTTTCCAGATCGTAATTTTAAATTCTATCTTGCAACTTCAGAAATAATAAACTACACTTAAGTTAATTTTTGGACCACGTCAGACACTGGAAATTGTGGTAGCGCTCGTGAAAACGGTGATTTCTAGCTTGCTGCTCCGCTCGCGCCGCAGCTCGGCGTCGCCTGCGGCTCCGCCTTCGCTTGATAATATAAAAAAAATATGGTAATACTTAAACAAAGTTAATCATATGGCTACAGGCGGCAGTTACTTTAACCAACAGCTGGTTCGGCGTTTTTGCAGATTTTCTGATGGTTGTTGCAGTGTTCCGTAGACTTTGTATAGTAAGGTTTTCCAGAGTTTTCTTGAAAATGAATTTGCTTTTCCGCATCAAACAGATTTTGTAAAAACCTACCGAGTTTGAGCTATCGGACAATATATGGATCTTGAGGATTGATCCAGTGTATCATTCGGGATGGACGCGCAAACACGATGACCACACCTCTTCTTATTCTTTTATTATAAAGGAAGGATTAGCAGACCCCGCGCAATTTGCGCGGAAGAAATTGAATGAACTACTGTGCAAATAACTTACCTTACTTACGTGATTTAAGGACTATAATTTTTATGTTATTTTTGAGCGTATTCCTAAGTACTTTTATGGTTAATTTGTACAATAAATTTGGCGCTCAATTCGGATTGAATGATGTTCGGTTCAAACTATGTTTACAGTTTAAATCTACAGATTACAGTAACAATTCTCATACACTGCACTAAAAGCTAATCTACCCGGTACCATAGCTGTACTACGGCGCGACTCAAGTTTACGTAACATTTTTTCACACGATTTTTCAGCTTCACTCCCGAGTTCTAGAGCGCTAGAGTGACCGAATTATTACGATCCGGTTACCGTAAACGTAGCACAAAGCCCAACCGCCCCTGAAAAAATTAAAGGTGATTTTCAAAAATGTTTTACTTAAATTGAATTTTTTTATTGTTTTTATGGTGTCGTGCAACCGCTGCAAAGTGCACGTACGAAAACCCTTCCGCCCCCTCTCCCTTGTAACAAAAAAGTTGGAAAAAGTCCAACCATCCCCGCCCCTTCGTATTACGTAATGTTTGAATCGCGCCTACCGGAAACAGCATCAATCTCTGTTTTCCGTAAATTGCAAAGAAGTATGCAAATTGCACGTTAGATTAAATACTCAGAGTTGCTTGCACAGCAAGGTTTTTAGGTTAGGCCTCAAAAGATATGCGTTTTGAATGCCTTTGATGTAAAAGTAGAAGAAATCCAATTTTTTGATAATTTTACCACAGATCACAGGCTGTCAATTTTCAACTGACTGCTCTATCACAGTTATTGACAATCAATACCAAAGAACATAACACTATGGTAATCGGTGTACTAACTTTTATGTCTTTTCCTGCTATCGAATTATTCTGAAAGTCCTTAAAAGTTTTTAATCTATATTAAGCGGTGAGCACTAATTTAAGTGGTATCCAGTTCAAATTTTCAGATTAATTATATTCTGCGCATACACTGTACATAGATTATAGGTACCCGCTCCCTGTACAGTAGAAGTTTAAGACCACTTCGGACACTGGGAATTGCCTTATTCATGTTTTCTTATGTATCATCCATAAACTGGATGCCTTGTTTGCTGCTCCGCGAGCTCCGCTCGCGCCGCAGCTCGGCGTCGCCTGTGACTCCGCCTTCGGTTAATAGTCCAGAAATACTCAAGCGTGCTTCAAAATTCTGTAACTGTTACTAAAATTGAATGAAGTCTGTGACAGCTGGCGAACAAAGGCTCACGAGTGTGAAAACAAAGGCTTTATTGCGGAATCATAAATGCAAGAACCAAAACACAAAGCACATGAAGGCTCGATATCACGTATGCTAGTGTGAGCGGTAGATGTACTTCGTACACCTGTGCGGTTGCGGCTGCGTCACGGATTCCTGTCTGTGCTGTCTCTCGCTGGCCATTGTTCTCGGCGTTAGAGCCGTCTCTCTCTCGCAGTCAGTCGCCACGTGGCGAATGCGGATGTGAATGCGGATATGAGCGCAGTCCGCCAGTCTCGAGTTTTCATGCATCGTCAGTCATAAAGTTAGCAAGTAGCTGAGCGGACTTCGCGTGTTATTTCGCTGTTCGCAATACTTTCAGCATTGCTCACTCCACGGGATCTATTCCGTTTAGGTCGCCGTATCTGGATCACTCCCTGATCTAGCTTTAGATGGTAGCAGAGCCGACAGCGGTTCTCTGATTTGATTTGGATTGATTTGATTTGATTCGTCGGGCAAAGTTGGCCTGTTATCTGTGTCAGGCACATTTGGCCTGTTATTTGGACGCGACCAGTAAAGCACAGGTCTGCACGGACAGCAAAGCGCAACACCACAAGCGGTGCAATTCCCCCATCGAACGCGGATTACCAGCTTTGGTTTTCGGTATAGTGTCTTCAGCGAAGACCTCTGCTGTTCCTCAGCTGTGAAAGAGTGCAAGAGTTCAGTCGGCAGTGTTCCTCGGTGGGGAGTCTTCAGCGAAGACCCACACTGGTGTCACTGCTACTCGGCAAGGATTCAGCGAATCCTAAGCCGTGGGGCACAAGCGCCGAAGCGCCGAAAGGGGCGCACGGAGAAAGCAGATCAGACTCCACCAAACTGGTTGCAGAGCACCACTACTGTTGCTACGGCAGTCAGCCGGCACGGTAGCAGACAAAAAGCGTGCGGCACAACCGCTACGGAAAAGCGGCAACGCGGGAGCGGAGTGTGGAGAAGGAATTGGATCATTTGGAGCACTTTCCCGTGGAACGGACGGTGAACAGGTAGAAAAACCGTTATTAATTACGGGATTGGTTAGCTGGTAAAATTGGCAATTTTCATTGGTCCGTACTGAGCTGAGCATAGACGTAGGCGGAGTTTTGCACACGGTGCGCAAGTCTGGCCGTTGACCGCGACGTCAGGCAGATATAAACTTTAAATGGTTTAACGTTTTTGGTCGGTTATCTGAGCCTTGATTGGTCGAAATTTGAAGTGAATATTTTAAGCTAGCGAACCAATCAGAACGAAATAAACAACGTAAATGGGGATTTTCCGTTGAGCTTGATCTGTAACTGAAATCTGAATTGAGATGAGATATTTGAACTGGAAAGTAACCTTTTGAGTTGAGTTGAGTTGAGTTGGAAAGTGACCTTTAAGACCAGAAAATGACCTGTGACTTTAGGAAGTGACCTTACCGAAAAGTTGAAATTGACTTCTTGAGTGACCTTTAAGATCTGAAATTGACCAACGGTGACCTTTAATGAAGTTGAAATTGAGTGATTAATAGTACGGCGATATCAGCAGCTGTAGAATTTCATTGTAAATGTATTCTGAACTGTAAAAGCGGTTTCGAAGTTTTGTCCGAAGAGTGACCTTTAGGGCAAATCTCTCGAACTTTTTACCGAAAAAGTGACCTTTAACAGGGACTTAGAAAATTTCGTCGAACGGAAAGTGACCTTTAAGACAATTGAATAAACCATACAACAGCGTGTGTGTGAGAATAGTTGGCAGGAGCGTCCAAGTTATCCGATCAACATGGACAAAGACAAAGAGCAACCGACGTCTACTGGCAGCCAGGGAAGCACAAGCTCCCGTGGTTCACAGCAAAGCGCACCGAACCCGTACAAAAAAGATTTGCACACGTACTCGCGTCCAGTTGAACATGAGCGGAACACTCGAGCGCCCAAGGCATTCGAGAAGAAGGATTCACGAGGCTCTGATAGCACTTATCAGAAGGCGCTCGAGGCGATCGCCAACCAGGAAAGCTCCAGCGACGACCAGAAGCATACCCCGCGTCTGCGGCGGGAGGTGAACCGGTGTACCAAGCAAAGGTCACCGAAGAGGGAAACCCAAGGAAGAAGGAACGGAGGCAGTTGGAACATCACAGTTCGGGTATTACCACTGCTGAAATAACTCAGCAGGATAAAAATGTGAACCTGGCTCAAAGGGGAGTTGGAAATACAAAGGTCACCAAGGAGGAACTGAATGAGCTTGGATTGGATGACCTTTCAATGAATGACAAGACCGTAGGCGATGACCTTTGGGCAGCTCCAATGGTATCAGATGAATCAAACGAATTGTACTTCACGGACGATGAAACAACGATGAATACGTCTTTCCAAACTGCGATGAGAGAAGCTGACCGTGCTGAAGGGATGACACCATTCAAGGACATACCCGAGCACCTTATTGAGCGGACACAAACTGGAAAGGTCATCAATGTACGATCACCGTCACCGAACAGCCCAACATCCACATTGAAGAGTCGTGTTAAGGATCTGGAAGGCGAACTCGACGCCAAGGAACGTCAGGCAGTCAAGAGAAAACAGGAATATTGCGACAGACTGGTGACACTTGAAACACGCATATACGAATTGGAACAGCAACAAGGTGACTTGGAGAGCGCAGCGGATGAATGGAAAATCAAATACGAGCGACAAAAAGAACTCGCAGAAGATTTTTTGAAAAGAGTAGACGACAGAGAAATTAAAGGTCATCTCGCAGTCAGTGACCTCAACGAGAGCATGTCCGAGGAGTCAGCTGAAAGGTCACGACACTTAGCCGAACTGAAGGACGAATGCGATTCGCTGAAACAAAAGGTCACCGAAGCCGAGGCCAAACGAGACGAATATGCAGTCAACTTCTCCACAGCTACACAAAAGTTGAGTACATTAGTAGCCGATATGTCAAAGCTAAGGAGTGAGCTGAAGTTGTGCGAAGAGAATATCAGTGCCCTGCACAATGAACTTAAAGGTCATCAGAAACGGGCAGAAGAGGCGGAACAGAAAAGAGATGAAGCAATTCGCGTAATGAGAGAAGTGAGAGATCTCGCGGGAAATGAGGGAGAACGACTGAAAGATGGAATTCAAAAGGTCACCCAAGAGAATGACAAACTAATAGAAGATATCGAAAAGGTCACTAAGGAAGGTCTTAAGTGGCAAGCTGAAGGTCATCGATTGGATGTATTGGTCACGGCTTTAGAACGGAAGGACAAGGAATGGCAACAACTTGTCGCTCAAGAAAAACAAGAAAACGAAAAGCTGACCACTGAGCTCTACGGGATGACGACTACAGTTATGGCAAGGGACGATGAGCTCACAGCAGTTAAGAATCAGTTGAAATCAGCTGCTGAAGAGTACCAGAAACTCGAAGGAGACGTGACCCAGTTGGCGGAACACATCAAGAAGATGGAAAGCGACACTGAAAAATTCGTTCAGGAGAAGACCTTCCAACTCCACCAGCACGTGCTAAAGGTCAAAGAGGAAAATCAGAACTTGAAAACTGAAAAAGAGGATTTCCAGCTGAAAATTAGACGCCTTGAAGATGAGAATAAGGCCCTCAATATGTCGAATAAACACAAGGACGAACAGCTCCTGCAATATGGAGTTAGGACAGCAACAGTGGAATCACCTCCGCCCAGTTACAGTAAGGCACATGAAACGGGCAAAAGCTTCCATTTTGAAATGCCGCTATGTACTGGCACCGGCGCTGGTAAAGGAAGTCTCAAAACGGAGCGAAATGGCGATAAAGACGATGAAGACAAAGACCAGTTGTCAGGTGGCTTTCCGCATACGAGTCGAGGTGACCCTTCAAATATTCCCCCACATATTGAAACAAATGTCTTTATCGATGAAGGACGACGAGACGAACAATCTAGCCGGCACGAACGCATAAGGAAATCTCGGTATGCAAAAGCAAAGCGAAATTAAAATGATGACGAGAGCAGTGACGAAGACGAAGAGGACAATCGGAAGTCGGCAAAAGAACTGACAAAGGCACTCAACTCCATGGCTCGAAAAACGACGCTGATGACCTTTGACGGAAGTCGTGACACCGTGAACGGTTGGACATGCTTGGTAAAAGATACCCAAAGAACCTACCAGCTCACTGACGAATAGATTATGATTGAGATAGCCAGTGCGGTGAAAGGACCGGCTAAAACCTGGTTCGAAGATGAAAAGGACATCGAACTAGAGGATGGGGTCGAATATTCGGTGACAGAGTGGATGGACAAATTCAAAGATGAATACGGTGACCGAGACGAAGAAGTCTTAGGCGTACGTCAGGCATACGCAAGGAAATTCGAACTCGGAAAAGAATCGCTTGACCAGTTTTATCAAGCGATGATGAGATACAAGGCAAAACGAATCATTACTGAAAAACAAGCAGTTGGTTTCCTGATCGAAGGATGCAGAGTGGACAATGACCTTTACAAGGCATTGAAAGCACGACAAGGTGGAACGCTAACCGATATCAAAGACTTTTTCCGACACTGGTCAGCGGGGGAAGAAAAGTACAAGGCAGCAAAACGTCAACGTAACCAAGATTATCTGACGATTCGTTCAGGCCAAGTCGAAAATGTGCCGCAACAGAGGATGGCCGCTGCACCAATTCAGCAGCTGGTCGAATACCGCGTGGAGACTCCGGTCAAAGAGGTCACAGAAAAGGTGACCTTTATCGACAGCCAGACGGGACAACCGATAACATACGCGATGGTGGCGGCGATACAAGCGGCGGCTCAAGTGAGACCAGTACCCCAGAATGTGGCCCCACCGAATGTGGGAGTGCCACAACAAGGGATGGCAAACGGTAATTTCGGCGGAAACGGGAATGAAAATGGAAATTGAAATGGACGTCAGGGAAACTTCCAGAATCAAGGTCAAGGTCAAGGCTATTTCCAGCCAAACAGAGGGAACCAGAACTACCAACAGAACCAACAAGGGTCACGAACGGAATATAAGTTTCAGCTGATCGATGGGTGGGTGGCAAACTTCGTGCAGATGTGCCAATATTGTATGTATGGCAACCATCATACACAGGGATGCAAGTTTGCCACCACACCGCCGGACCAGAATCCGAATTTCTTTGCCTTCAGAGAGTGGCAACGGTTGCGCAACCTGGGCGGTTGGCGTTGGCGCAAATGGATATGACCTGATTACACAATGGTATCAGGTGAAAGCGAGCTTCCAGAATCAACAGGGCAACGGAAATGGGAATTATGGAAATAGAAATGGCGGTGGCCAAAACAACGGCGGCTACGGCCGTGGTGGCTACAGCCGCGGCGGCTTCAGAGGAAGGGGCAGAGGCTTTGGCCGCGGGAATTACGGCAATAACCAAGGTGGCGGAAATGGAGGTGGCCAAGGAAACTACCAACAAGGTGGTTGCCAATACAATTATGGCGGCGGACAGAACCCTAACCCGGCAAACGATATTGGACAGCAACAAGGAAATGTGCAAGGCGCGCAACAAGGCGGGGCGCCGGTTCAGGGAAACGGGCAAGATCAGTAGGCACCGGTGAGCCTACTGATCGCCCCGACCCTAAACCATCGGATAAAGGGGGAACGGAAAGGTCACCACTGCAGAATGGTACTGCAGTGAACGTAGCGAAATCAACGGCTATAAGGATGCCGTTACAGCAAAAAGAAACGGCTATATGGATGCCGTCAACGCAAAAAGAAAACGGAACGGCTAAATGGATGCCGCCACAGCAAAACGAAACGGCTATAAGGATGCCGTCAACACAGCAAAGGGAGACGGTTATATGAATACCGTCAGCGCAAAAAGAAAACGGAGCGGTTATAAGGATACCGTCACAGCAGCAAAATCAAAGGTCACCGCAGAATGGTACTGCGAGTGGAAATTGTCGTGACGGTAGCGCGACACTGCAAAAAGTGCTGCCAAATGAAAGGTCACCGTGTTGCAGCGAAGAAGTGTTAGCGCAACGACGCGCACAACGAAATGCGAAGATTCAACAGGCGCTGCTGACACAAAGGTCATCACCGCA